AAAACGCATAAAAACACCAGACGACCTCTGACAACTGGAGCATATGAAAGCTGGAAACTATAACAGATAAAATTTAGAGATAAGCAGCCTACCTAGTAGCTTGAGATGGCGTTCAATTGCCTACAATGGCTGCATTGGACGTGTGATTGCACCTCAGTAACATTGACGTTTTACGGACGTAGTCCTCCTGGAAATCTTGTTAATGTACTGTAGGGCAATAGATTACCGTGGTTTTCAGGGAGGTCATGGATGCCCGTAAGTGCGGCTGTAGCTTGCTATCTGGTATGCTAAAATCGCTTTTTTGCCATTATTGTGGAGAATCCAGGTTCCTTTTTCAGGGACTTCAAATTAATTTCTTGTGGCATTAATTCTGTTTTGTTGTTTTAGGATTTTCGGAACAAATCCCGTACAAATATTTTCGCTGTCGTTTCCAATGTCTGCTGAAAGAACAGAGTGCACCAAACGAATACGTGGATGATCGAGCAACGTCTGGTAAAATATTGGAAGAGTGCGGTGCGTTTGCGCATCGTTACCGGCTGGGTCTAAGTCAGGTAACGACCAATTTGGAATTGTGATGAGATATAAATTGCGTTTATTTTGCTCCATTTTTTTTGTAGGTTTGGTTGAGAATAGTTTTCATGTTGTTCTGCGAGCGGTGCTCCATTGCTGTCAGTTAGTACACATCATTAGGTGTTTCTGCGTAGCGATTTACTGGATGAACTGGAAGAGCGTCGTGAATTGAACTTAAATGGGCTCATCGAGCACTTCCAAGAAGTGTGCCGCAAATATCTTGCTGCAAAGTGGCTAGCGAAACGACGAGTGCAGGAGATTGCAATACGCTGTATTCAAAGGAATGGTCGTGCATATGGAAAGGTGCGTGAATGGCCGTGGTGGCGTCTCGTCGTCCGTGTATTGCCTCTCCTCGTCGCCACAAGGTCCCACTTTATGTGTTTTTGCTATGCAACGCTGCAGCGTTGCAACACTTTACGAGAGTGCATATTACCAGGAGGTTCTCAGTGTGTGCTTGTGTGTGTGTGTGAATTTTGACACTCACTCTGAACTCGGCTACCAGAGAAGGCAAAAAACTGAGCATGCCCAGCATGCCTCCATCGCATGTATAACCCTCCTTTCTCGAAATTATTGTTTGTGTTCGTTTGGAACTCACGTACAGAGGTGGGAAAAAATTGTGGCTGGGAACGACTTCGATAACTAGTCAACATAGAAATTTAAAACTTTGCAAAAATGCTTCCTGTCCTTGTTTGAGCTAAAGGTTTCAAATTCGACTATTACCCTTATGTCCCACTTACGGACATTTCAAAATTCGTTATGCTGATTCGAAAATTATCCGGAAAAAGCAAGCTGAATAATTTTACAATTATCCATATGGGAACTTGTACACCTAAAGTAATTTTTGAATTGTACTTGCGTCATGCGTTAGGACACGTTGAAAATATTTGTAGTAAAGTAGTTTTCCGAAAATCGAACAAGTTAGGATAATTTTTGCCTA